CACACACACACACACACACACACACACACACACACACTGTCTTGAGCCCCAGACAGACTTCTCTCCCTTTTCAGTTCTGTTATGGCCCCCAGAAGAGCTGCACAGGGAACTCTCCAACTGTCTACCCTAAGAAGGGGGTGCCCATTTACCCCAACTCTCCAATATAGCATATGCCACCTGTTTTACCTGTCCTATCCTTTACACAACCTTCAAACACTAGACCACCCCCTAGATGACTCCCACGAGGGTCTGCATGTATGTGTGGGTTGTCCTGAGCATGGTCATTGTGCATATTGATGAGGACGCCCTGCATTGTCACGGGTCTGGGTGTGAGCTGAGAGGGCCTCTCGGTGTGAGTGTGTGAACGCACCCGCATGCCTGGGTATTGCATGTCTCTGTGTGAATGTAGGTGAGTGTGTCTGAGTGGCTGTGACATCCTTATTCCTGACAAAAGAACTCCCTGGGGCTAGCTTCTCTCAGCCCCTTCAAAGGCACTCCAGCTCAGGGACAGTCCCGCCCGGCCTCCGCCAGGGTCATCACAAGCACTCAGGCGCAGGCACCCTTCCTTTCAAGCTCAGCTCCTCTGGACCAGGAGACCAACAGCCTCCCGCCCCTGCCCCCATGCCCTGGGTGGAGAACCGTCTATGGAGATGGACTGGAAGCGCTGGCGACGGGAAGAGAGGTGGCTAGGACGACAGCCGAGAAGGCAACCTGAGGACAAGCTGGAGGGGCACGGAGCCGCTGCAGAAGTGAGTCCCACCCACACCACGCCCCCTCCCACGCCGGTGGAGATGGGGGTAGCCAGCTTCCACCCTAGTCTTCCTCTGGGATTCCCAGGTCGAACTGCTTCTCCTCTCCTGAAACTGTAGCCGGGAGAGGCGGTTGGGACCCCCTCCTCCCGTGCACCCCAGCCACCGCGTCCAGGCGGTTGCTGATTGGCTGCGTCCCAGCCCCCCGGCTCCGAGGCGGGAGCAGAGCGGTCCGAGGTGGGAGGCGCACACGCGGGCTCCGGGAGCCCCTCCCGAGTCCCTGTGCCCAGCATCCTGCGCCCTGCACCCTGCGGAAGGGCTGAGGCGGGACTCCAGGCAGCCAGGTGCGGAGGGAGCAGAGCGGACCACGGCCAAGGGTAGAAGCGAGTCCTGCAGGGAGCGAGGCGCTGCTGCTCCAGCTGCTGCCTCCGCCGCTGCCACCAGCGAGCCGGCGTCCAGAGCGGGCCGGCAGGCCGGCGCGGAGACGAGGAGCGAGGGGCGCGCTCATGGAGCACACGCACGCCCACCTGCCAGCCAACAGCTCGCTATCCTGGTCTCCCTGCGGCTTGGGCTTCGTTCCCGTGATCTACTACAGCCTCTTGCTTTGCCTTGGTTTACCAGGTGAGCGGAGCCGGGGAGAGGGTGCGTGAGCCAGGGGCCCCAAGTGCAGAGTGCCCCCACCCAGGGCCCCCAGGCCGATCCACCTTCTTGGTGAGATCCCTGGTGCCCCCTCGGAAAAAGTTTAAGCCTAAGGGACAACTGCGGACATTTCCAGATTGGGGGTAAAGGAAGTTGCTGTGGCCTTGGTTGCGGGGGGGGGGGAGTGTGTTTCATGTGTGTGCGCTGGCAGGCGATGGGCAGCGTGTGAGTGTGGGTTGGTGTGCGTGTGTGCGTGGATTCGAGGGTGCTGGTATTTGTGTGCTCATCTGGAGGGATGGGTGTCCTCGATGGTCCAGTGAGGGCTGCGTGTGTGACTTAACTGCATGTCCTGACAGACAGCTTGCTGGGAGCTTCACTTCTCACACTGCCCACCATGTCCACTCCAGCCTGGGTACGCCTCTGCCCCTCTACCCCATGGCGTGTCCCAACCTGACCTGACATGAAGCCGCAGACCCTGATGCTGGGCAGTCTTTTGCTGGGGAGGGGTGTCCCTAGGATGGAGCAAGGGCTGTGCCCCAGCTGCCCCCCCCCAAGCAGGATCGGGGCTCCAGGCCAGTTAAGAAGGGGTGGGGGTCTCTCGGACCTGTGCCCTGGCCAGGGCAAGGGTGCAGAGACACACAGGCGGGCTGCAGAGGCTGCCACCTCAGGGGGTCACAGTCTCCTTGAGGACAAGCCTCGCCCCCTGGCTTTGCTTCCTGGCCCTCCCACCCTGGGCAGCTCACGGCTGCGGCAGATGTCTGGCTGGTCCCACATCTTAACGTCCTCTGCACAGTGTGACTGAGACTTGTGCTGATTCCTGAAGAGAGCTGAGCTGCTGGGCAGGGGTGGGGTGGGGTGGGGGGGTGTCGGGAGGGGCATAGAGATGCTTGCCCTGTGAGAGAGGGGAGAGGGGTTTCTTGGGGCTCCCGTTTGAGATGGCCCTTCCTCCACATAAGAGACAGGTCTCTGTGGCAGAAAGATTCCTAAAGATCACTTGCAGGCAGATGAGAGAGAGGGGACCCGAGGGATTAGAAAGAAATGCAATGTGCAGCCTGCAATTGTGGCATCGTCAGCTTCAGAATCCTGGGAACTTGGGAGCTGGGTTTCTGAGTCTTGCTGAGATGGCCTTTCTAAAACATCCAACTTGGTAGCCAGGGCCCCTGATGAGGCAGTTTAAATAAATCCCCCCCCCCCCCCCCGCCAAACTAGGCAGGTACACAAAGCGTAAGTTTAGCCCATGAGCGATGATGAGGCTCTTATTACTAACTAATCACTCTGGCTGCCCTGGGAGGGACGCTCAGCCTCCAATTCGCCCTGCTGGGCAGCGGCACGTATCCGTGTCCCGTAATTACCTCGAGCAGGAACTGCTTTGGGTCCAGTCTGCCCTCCCAATCCTCTCCCAGTGTTCTCTTTCAGGGAGTGAGTTTTTCAGACGCTTGGTTATTGGTGACACTTGCTGAACAGCAGCAGTGACAGGCTCCCCTTTCCTCTGCAGCCCTCACATGAGACTGTACCTACCCTGCCCTTTCACCCCTCCATCTCCTCTGCTGACTCAGGTAGCCACTCTCTCGGGCCTTCCTGCGGAAAACCTTAAAGACAGGGAAAGGAGGACCCTGCAAGGGTCTAAAGCGGGGACATGCGGATGGGAGGATGAGGCATGTACAGACCCTCAAACACCTGAAGGTGAAAGTCAAGGCACTTCACACCTCCACAGCCTAAATCCTATGCCAGCTGGGGCCTTCTCGACTCACAGCACTGGCACCTACTGAATGCCAGGCATGGGCTCGTCGGGGCTGAGCCCAGGGCTTGGAGACTTTAAGTGGTGGGGTGGGGGGCTGGAGTTAGAACGTGGAGGGCATGGACGTGCTCACACACTCAACAAAGCATTATGAGCAGCTACTGTGTGCCAACTGCTCAGGAGGCACCAAAGGACTCAGAGCCCTCTAAGGCGCTGTCCCTGAGTTCAAGGAGCTCACAGGCGTAAGCTTAGGGTTCTAGAGGCAAAGACAGATGCAGAAGGACCCAGCATTACGGAGAAGAGACGGCCAGGCTGGTACAAAGGTCAGGGCACTGACAACGGTTGGTTTTGTTGATGGGTTGCAAGGCGGTTCAAAGGTGACATCCTTAAGCCATTTCTTAAAACCCTAAGGGCAGGCAAGTCTGTCCTGGTGCCTAAGAATGCAGGCTGTAGGGTGAAGCAGAGCTGAGTGTTACTTTCTGGGCCTTTTTTGTATCTCTGTGCCTCCACTTCCACGTCCATAAAATGGTCTTTATGGGAGTGGCCACTCCCTGGAGTCGTGGTGAGAAAGGACGATGTTGATGGAGATGAGGGTTCTGCTCCATGCATCGCACCCCACATGCCTCTTGCTGCCGTGCTATTGCAGTCGAGCTGATTTGGTTGTAAGGAGGAAAGGGGGGCCGCCCAGGCCCACCCGGGAGCCAAAGAAGGAACTGGGAGGCTTGCGGAGAAAAGCTCTTAGCTCAGCACTTACTCCTGTGCTGAGCTCACAACCATCTTCCCCTCCCCTCCCAACCACGGCCACCAGCAATTAGCAAACCCTCGTTACCCTGCCACTGCCTGGGAGGCAGCGGCTGTGCTGGGTGTGAAGTAACAGACCACAGGGCCCCGTAATATTGCTGAAAACTGAGATGTTAATTGAATCACTTTTCCTGGCAGTACACTCGCCCCAATTCCAAGTTCTCGCCATGGTGGTCGGAGAGGTGGGTGAGAACTGAGGGAGGGATGGGGAGCAGCTGAGGGTTTGACAGTGGAAGGGCCAGTAGCTAGGGAAAAGGGTGGCTGCTTCTCACCACCTTCAATCTCTAGATTGAGAGGAAGAGTCTGGGAAAGGCCACGGGGTTCCGTCCCGTGCCTCTAGAAATTGCTCCAGACTAATTGAGCTGGTCTGGTGGGAGATGCAGGGGGTGCTGACGTGAGGTATGGACAGAATTAAGAACCCCTAACCTCTCTGTCCCACAATTTTCTCCCCCTGCAAAACCGGGGAACAGGGATACCTACCATCCACACAAGTAGTTATATTAAATAAGAAAATCTACGTCCAAATAGCTTAGCATACGCGTGGACTGAGTCAAACACTTTATTCCTCAGTCCTTCTCCACGCCAGGTCTTTCTCTATATTAAGTGCTTGCATTACTGCACTTAACCCCCACCACACCCCTGGGGCCCTGAACCCATTCTACAGGTGAGCAAGCTGAGTCAGAGACGTGCCGCATCTCGTCTACACAGTCTAACCGGCACGCAAACACCCGCTCGTTCCGTCGCATCGCACCCTTCGTTACCGCAGGGACGGTCTCTGAACTAACCTCAGTCCTTCATGCTGCGTGCTCAGTGGCGAAACTGGCGCCCCAGCTCTTCCTAGAACTCCACGTCTTTCCTTCTCCTTTTTAAGTAAGCAAGGTGTTTTCTAAGCCAGCAGAGCCAACAAGGTAGACTTGGGGACACTGACTGGGCCCGCTGGGACAAGACAGGGCCAAGCAGGAGGCGGTACGGGAGGAAAAGATGAGCCCAAGCGTCTGGGGGGTGAGTGTGGAAGGGAAAAGAGTGAGCCCGCCTGATAAGGCCGGAGCAGCACAAAATGAAACTGACTCGAAAGGTACTTTTTAAATTTTACCTTCTAGAAGGTACCATGGATGTTAAGGGAGACAAGGCAAGGAAGACGATAGCCTAAAACCGCTCGCCACCCAGCAGATGGGAGCGTTTCCACAACTGCCAAGCCAGGGTGATAATACCTGTCTCTGCCGGTTGGTGCAAGATGAGAGTCTAGTCTGTAGCCTGACGGGTAGTAAGTGCTTTGACACCTGGGAGTTACTGGTGTGGCGGAAACACGGCAACCGGTAAGCTGGACTCAGCCCGCCAGGTGTGTTATCTTTCACTTTCAAATATCTTTAGAGAAAATGTAGTAAACAGGTTAAGAGTACAAAGTCTGGGGTTGGATCTCTGGGCCTTGAGTCCTGGCTCTGTGCTTCTAAGCTGTGGGACTGTAAGCAAGTGACTTTACACTGTGCCTCAGTTTCCCCATCTGTAAAGCATGGATCGTGATAATAATGGTACATACCTCATAGGGTTGCTGGGAAGAGTCAATCAGTGAAGTACCTAACATGATACGTCTTTTTTTTGTCATTTAAAAAATTAGAAAAATCAAGGAAAAACTGCCAACATGTTTTATGACACCAGCTTACCCTGATATCAAAACCAGGCAAAGACATTACAAAAAACTACAGACCAGTATTCCTCATGAACAGCAACATAAAAATCCTTGACAATATATTAGCACATCTATTCCAGGAATATATAAGATGGGTAATACATCAAGACCACGTTGGGTTTATCCCAGGAATGCAAGGCTGGCTCAACATGTGAAAATCGTTCAGTATGATTTGCCATATTAACCGAGTAAATAAAGGAAATCCATATGATCATCTCAATAGACGCAGAAAAAGTATTTGACCAAGTTCAACACCCATTCATGATAAAAACTTATCAAACTAGCGACACAGAGAGAACTCCTTTAATAAAAGGCATCTATAAATAACCAACAGCTAACATCACATTTAATGAGGGAAGATAGAATGCTTTCCCACTAAGATCTGGAACAAGGCAAAGGTGCCTGTTCTCACCACTCCTATTCAACATTGTACTGGACGTTCTAGCCAGTGCGATAAGGCAAGAAAAAGAAATAAAAGGTATACAGGAAGGAGCTAATAAAATTGTTTCTATTCACCGATGATATAATTGTCTTCGTAGAAAAATTGCAAAGCCTCCACCAAAAAAAGCTCCTAAGAACTAATAAGTTAGTTCAGCATGTGTGCACACTGCTAATATGCAGAAACCCTATTGTGTTTGTACATATTGGCAATGAACAATTAGAAATTAAAAATTGGGATTCTTAAAAACAAATGACTTGCAATTTCCCTTGAAAAACCAGAAGAATGGACAACATTAGGCTCATATCCCCAGAAGG